TTTACTTAACGAGATTGGAATGTACACTAATTGGTATACAATATTATTGTTTCGAAACTGATTTTTTTGCATTTAGAATTTTAAAAAAATATGCAGAATTTTATTTTTCACTTATAATTATTTTGAAGAAATAAATTACAAAAAATAGAATTTCTCCCATAATTTTTATTACAAATTACTTTGTATTTAAATGAGTGCCGATATTAAATGATCATACTTGTGGGATACTTGTACTGTAAGTTAACAACACTATACGTCTACTTTGCAAAATTGCATATAGGTCGTCTTCATTAACACCCATGCCTTGGCGAGTTATGATCACTAACACCTACTACTTACGAGTCCTAAAAAAGTTATACCCTCAGCAAAGATCATAAAAGGGCTTCTATTCCCACTAACACTCAGGATCTTCCTTGTGCTCCGTACAAGTATCTCAACTTGTTTTCACTAACACCCACAGAAAGATGCAATCTACTTATTGATATATGATTATACTAATTATTTTCTTAAGCATTTTTATGTCGAAAATACCACAGAATACGAGAGAAGTTATCAAGTAAAAAAACTATCTTAAAAATTTCAAAAATGAGAAAAAAAACTGTATAGAAATATTTCTTAATGCTTAAAAACATTAACTTCACCGGTCAATAGTATTCACTATATATTCATAAGCACTGACACACATATGTAATTCATTTATTGACGAACAATTAGAGATTTTATTATGAATTTTAATTCAAAAAAATCTTAAAAGTGAAAACGTAAATATTTTCAGTCAAACAAATGACCTGTTTTCCAAATGTTTTTAGAATTTTGATTTTAGAACGCAAGATTTTTAAGCTTTATAAAAAAAAGTTTAGTTTTTATTGTAAAGCGTGCTAATAGTTTTGTGTTTCTACAGTAAAAATGCCCTGAATATATGGGAGGCAGTTCACAACAGCAAGAACGTATCATTTTCAATCATAGCTTTGATGTTATAATTGAATCGAAAACATTTGTATTTTCACTTTTAAAGATGTTTTCGAATTAAAATTCATACCAAAACCTCTCGAATTGTCTGTTAAGAAATGAATTACATGTGTGTGCCAGTGTCAGTGAAGACAAGTTAGGCGCTATGAACCTGTTAACAAAGCATTGTAGGTGTTAGTGGGTATTCATAGACATGTTTTAGTCGGTTTCACGTGTTTCTAGGGAAAAGCTTCTTAAGAACAATTATTTCCAGATAGCACTTATGTGCATCAGAAAGTCGGATTTGATGTTACGTGGCGGTTAGTGAAAACAAGCTCGAGTGCTTGCGCGAAGCATAAGGAAGATTCTGGCGTGAGTGGTAGCGGGAGTACAGGTCATTTTATGATCTTTGCTGAAGGTATATTTTTTTCTAGGACTCGTACACAGTGTGTATTGGTGAGTATAACTGACCAAGGTGGGGGCAATAATGAAGATGAAATATGTGATTTTGCAAAGTTGGATTCTAGCGATGTTAACATAAAAGATGAATACTCTTAATTGTATATGTCCTTGTCTTTCAAAATTAAGAACTACTCAATAAAGCATGGTGAACAGACAAGACTACTTGCATCTAAAGCAATATTTTTTTGCTCCAAAAGATTTTTTCAGAAATCGGGACAAAATCAAATAGACAAGCAATAATTAACATAAAGAGTCGTACTTCTCTACTGTTTAAATTTAGAACATGATTTCGGTAACCAGCGATTGCACATTTCATGTGGAATTCGTACAGTTAGACAAGTTCATTTTTCTGATATGATTGCTGTGAATAGGTCTATTACATTGGTAGTGTTATGGATTGAGAAACATTGACGAATTTGGAAATGGTCTTGTCTATATCTGCATGGTTGACGAGTTTGTCACTATTCGCTTGAAAGTTTCTTAATATATTTAGCAGAAGCAGCGACTTTTTTACCCACTAGAATAAATAAGAAAGGACTCCGGTGGTCGAATTTTCACCAAAGTTCTATTCAGTCATGTTCGTGCAGACCATGGTTATCAATAAGGATCAGAATAGTATTGTTAAGTGCCTCTGATGCAACTAAAGCGAGTAAAAAGTCTTAACATGTCGAGTCTATCACTGCATAGTTGTTGAGTTCATCTTCACTCTGGGCATCAACAGTACTATTGATGAAAAACCATCCCCGTTACGCATAGCTAAAAATCAATCTTAAAGATAGTCAAGCATCTCATCCACAATTCATGTCGTTCCTGTCACACAACCACTATTTTTGTGATATAATTCGACTTCATATTTGGTTCCGAGTTTCTACCATTGACATTTAACTAGTGAAATTCCATTGCTTCGGTACTTTTTAGCCCGATCGATGAAGAAGGCGACGATATACTCTCCCTACAATATCCAGTCAAATTTTTATATTTCCGACTAGCAGGTAAACCTATTCGCATTCTTTTTCAATTCAGTTGGAGAAAGGTGTCGATTTCGGTGAAGAGCACATCTATATCCACATATTTCATAGCTGTATTCATACCACACCACATCACCTACATTTTAACCTAGAAAAATGAACTCGAAATTTCGAGCTGAAAATCCTTTAGCTTATACTAACTTTAACTTCTAATGTGAATTAACCTTTCGTGACCATATTCAATGCATTCAGCATGATCTGAGATCATTATTATACTATAAGAAAGGATTAGTTCAAAACTCACAGCTGTGATTTCGATGAAAACTAGAAATTTGTCAGTTAGAAACTCACGCGCTCTTCTTGCTAAACAGTTAAAACAATGAAAATCGACAAAAAACGAGCAATAAACGCTAGCTTCACTGTTCGAAAAATTGATACAAAATTCGACGAAAAAAATGCGGAAATCTGTGTGGTTTTAAAAGTTCAACTAGGCTGGATTGGTTTGTCGATCCAGTTCCAGGCTGGCACTCCACAACCAATAACATCATTGGAGAAAAAGATTGTCTTGTGAACTTTTTTCTTTTCTGTTCTAATTCACTGTAACTCGCGCGTGACCGTCTGTTTTCGTTTTTATCTTTTCAATCTATAAATCATTGAAATACTACTATTGTAATGATATAATTTGTGTTGTTTTTTCTCTCGTATACATTGAGCTTGTGATGTTGTGTGATTTATTAACAGCAACTAAATGATCTATAGCCTAATATTTAACATGCGAGCTCGCACTACTTTTGCTCGAAGTACCTTAAGGTAATGCAAAAATCGTCAAGTACAAAACTATGCTGTTTCATCTAGTCTCACACGCACATGCATTCATACCTAGGGAAAATTAAACGAAAGAATGTCATCAAGATCCAGCGTTCTGTATGAGAGAACTGCATGTAAAGCTTGCGTAGTTGCATTGATCGAAATTTCGAACGTTTAAGGAGAGTGACAGGAATTTTCTCATAATCTTTTATATTTGCATTCAAGCGAATCACTTTCATGAAAGTAGAAATTTATGCAACTCTTTTGAAAGGAAATGAATTTAACAAACAGTTTCCTTGAGCTGGAGCAATACTTTCATGTGTAGTTCAGNTCAAAAAAAATATAAAAAAAAACAAAACAAAAAAAAAAAAAAAGAACATAATAAAGGAAACACCCCAGAAACAAAAATCAGAAGATAACAATGTCGGTGCCCACACACCGTTCCCTCAGAACCCCCCCCCCCCCCCACCCCCGCACTTAGAAAACTTCTGGTTATGCCCCTGATCTACATCATGTAGATTCCAATGAGCTATGAATACTCTAAAAAGAGTTTGTGTCTTTATCTTATTGCTGTGAAGATCGAGGTAGAAAAGATATAAGTACAGCAAGTAAGATATTTTTATTGGTACTTGTGCTTAAGTACAAAAAACATAGCTGGTATTTTTACTTGATGTATTAATATGATAAATTTTGTCATCCAACTCTACTACCTCTGATAAGTTTTTCAAGATCATCATGACATCATCTTATCAAAAAAGTAAATGAAAATAAGAATTATTATAATGGGATTTTTTTTCTCATATGCTGATAAATTTACTACAAGCCACTTATTTATTTTCATTGTTCGAGTTTCTTTAAAATTCTGATGAATATTTATAAGCGATGATGCTCGTTCGACTTACTATCATAAATAAATATAGTTCTCCATGTAACTAAGAAGAATCTACATAAATTCAGATCTATGCTCAACAAGTCAGAACAGATTATTACATTGCCGCATTTTCAACTTATCGAATCTATTTTGATATATGTCTAATAATTTAAAAAATTGATCCGCTTAGGATAAAAATCTACTTTAATAAAAAACTTATAGTCATCTGAAAGTCATCCGAACTATCCCATGATTAATTGTTTCTAAATTGAACATCTTTTATTTCTCATGTAATACGTTAAAAATATATAAAATGCTTTATATAAAAGATTCTTAGGTTTTCAAAAATAAACAGAAGCCAAAAATTCGTTTTAATTTTTACTAAGTTCATATATGTATTGAGTACACAGTTAAACTACTATATTAAATAAGCTTTAACATTTGACACGCACACACTTTTAGAGTGTTTTTTTTAAATGAATAGTATAGCTCCGCTCAGGTACTGATTTTTGAGTTTCAACTTGAAACTTTACATAGAGACAGGCTTTAACGAGAGAAATTTTAGGTCTTCTGATTTGCTTCAATCGTGAAATAAGAACATAAAATCTGCCGGTTTATATGAGGGATGTAAAAGACACACTATTACCATAACTGTATCTTAAAGGAGGGAAAGCAACAAGATCTGAAACATACACAGAAAAATACTATTTTCATTAAGATCTGTCGCTATGCACAAAGTTTCAAGTCAATATTTGACCATCAGTTACTGAGTGGAAGCACAACATCCATTCAAAAAAAAAATACCATATAAATGTAATATCTTCACAACCATAAGTTAAGACTACGAACTTTTTTCAGAGTATTCATAGCTCATTTGGATCTACGTAATGTACATAGTCTCGACTTAAATGCGACTTCACAGTCGAAGGACTTTCCTCGTAAGTTCAAACAAAATAATATTTTACCTGTAAGTTTTCAGCATCACCAGTTAATTTCCAAATTCTAACAAAACAATCATCACCAACAGATGCAAGTAAACCTTGTTCATTACAATCAATTGCATTAATACATCTTGCATGAGCAGCAATAGAACCACAAATTTGAGCTATTTATATTACTATAAATATTTTATTAAATCATTTAATTTCTTATTTACCATTCTCAGGATCAAAAAGACGAATCATTCCATTAGCATAACTAGCTACAATACAATTATTCCATATGGACAATGATGTAACACCACTTTCATCTATAGATGGTATTGTATTTATTTGTGACATTGTACGTATATTTCGTATAAGTATAGTACCACTTGTATCACTTGATATTAATAAATTAGCATTTGATACTAAATATGTTATACCATATTGATGACCTAAATTGAAAAATTCTTATTTTTTAAGAAAAAATAATTTAAAAAAAATTTTTAACCATGTATTGTTTCTTTAAGAAATATATTTGTTCCTTTCGGAGAAATATTAAATACAAGAATTTCACCTTGATGATTGCCTACGAAAGCACAAAAAAAAGTATTTATATATTTATCTGTCTTTACAGAAGAATTTTTACTTACCAACGCACAGTAAATTTTGACCAATACCTGCAATACCTCGTGAATAGATAGATGATTCTAAAAAGTAATAAAAAATATGGTATTTTTTTAAATTCAAACAAAATTCATTGGCTTTTTTTTTACCTGTTTTATTTGAATGGTTTTTATCAAGCATATGAATATGTAGATTTGTTGTACCATCTAATTCATAGATCTATATGAAAGAAAATATGTAAGAAATATTGATTTTCATTTCACTTACTTGAATACTTTTTGTACAAGCAAGAACAAGTAAATTTCGGATAGGTAAATTAACAAATGCAGCCTATTGAAAAAAGAAATTTGTTTTTCTTGTTTGAAATTTTTTTTTTCTTTACTTGAATAACATAAACAGTAAATCGAGCATCAATTTCCGGTGCTGAAGCATTATTATTATTCATAACACGACATATTACTTGACCTTGAATTCGTTTAGTTCCATCTTCGGATACAGTTACCTAGAATATTCATGTAGACTTGTTTTGATTGTTTATACTATTCTAATTTTTACCATAGTAAAACCACTTTTATGTGATACACCATACATTGTTGATCGACGTGATTCTGACGAGCGATTAATAGTCAGATTATTACTTATATGTGAGGCACTCCATTTGACTGAGACGGTTTCTGACGATTTTTGTAATGATAAAGACATTTTTTCAAAGTTTAATATCTAAGAAAATTGAAAAATAATCGATTCTTCTATGTTATTCCTTTGACATGATGTTTTTGAAATTTTTAGCAACATCGATACAGTTTCGCACTAAATGAAGCATAATATTTTTCTGAATCATAGACGCCATCGGTAGAATTATTTCCTTGCCAGTGCTGTTATATCAGAATAACTCATTCCTAAATATTTCTGACTCGACAATTGTCAAAGCAAGCTCTCGATTAGTCATATCTGTCTCTTAACCATCACACTAATAACCTAAGTGTTTTTTTCTCTTTTGTCATCTATAGGTACACACAAAACGTCATAGAACTATAAATTTTATGTTAACTTTTTATACTGTTTAAATGTTCGTCAATCATGAACATTATTAATTAACTGCATATTTATTTCGTTTCGGATATTATAATTCTACTCAGAGCTGGGCAAGTTGAAGGTTTCTCAAGTCACAAGTCAAGTCAAGTCACTAAAAAAACTTTCAAGTCAAGTCAAGTCAAGTCACACCTGAAAATTTTTTCGACCAAGTCAAGTCAAGTCAAGTCATATTCCAAAATTTTTTCAACCAAGTCAAGTCAAGTCAAGTCAAGTCAAATCAAGCCAAGTCAAGTCATTTCTCGAAATTTTTTTCCTAGAAGTTAAGTCAAGTCCGATTAAAAGTTAGGCAGAACATGACATTTACTAGCACTTATCGGATGAGAATCAATTTTTATAGTCTCAGAATTCTATTTCATGGTAAAAAACAATGCCTATAAGAAACAGAACTGGGCAAGTCAGAGGCTTCTCAAGTCACAAGTCAAGTCAAGTCACTAAAAAAACTTTCAAGTCAAGTCAAGTCACAACCCAAAATTTTTTTCGACCAAGTCAAGTCAAGTCAAGTCACGTTCCAAAATTTCTTCGATCAAGTCAAGTCAAGTCAAGTCACACCTCAAAATTTTTTCGACCAAGTCAAGTCAAGTCAGACTTGACTTGACTTGAGGCATTTTTGACTTGACTTGCCCAGCTCTGATTCTACTGTTCTCTATTATGTCGGCTATGATGTTTACAGAATACACATGAATCTATGATAAATTACAACTTTCTAAATAATTATTCGATTTTGTTTCGATCCGATATAAAAGTAAGTTGATAAAATATAATAAATTTTCCCTCGATAGAAATCATTTGATGCATGTTTTCTCACAGAGATAGTCTATAAAGCTTTAAAAAATTTAAATCGATCCATAAACAATCCTCTTGTCGTTGACAGTTACAATTCTGCTCTGAATATTACTGACAGATATTCATACTTATTTCTTCAACGCAGAGGAACAGTCTTGTCTCCTGTAGATGCAGATAATGAAATATCCAGTCGCCTAAAAGAGAACTAAAGAAAATATCCGTCAATATTTTTCTTCTTAAATTTTAAACTGCAACTAAAACGAACTCATTCATTTCAATTGTCTAGAATTCAATAAAAACACAATATGCGTATCTATGCTCGCCATGGGTTCATAGTGTTGCATAGCAATACCTCCACTGAGCAATTCTTATTCACTAATGCATTTCGAAAAAAGAATAATATATTCTCTATTAAATTTTTACATCCAAATCTTTAGCTTAATTATATTTTAAAATATTTACAAAAATTTACTTGAATGAATAACAATGGTTAAAAAAAAATTAATATCTTTGTTTATTTGTTTACTTTTTCTTCTTTTTTTTCATTCATTCTTTTATTCTTGTCCACTACAATCTTTTTCTATGCATTTGTAATTACTTACCTTTTTTTTGTTATTTTATTTTTTTTTAGATAAAAAGAAAAGATCTCAATAAAAAAAAAAATGTCATCACCGTTAATTCAACCAGAAAAATTTCAACATATTCTTCGTGTTCTTAACACAAATATTGATGGTCGTCGAAAAGTTGGTTATGCTTTAACATCTATTAAAGGTGTTGGCCGTCGTTTTGCACATGTTGTTATACGAAAGGCAGATGTTGATGGAACAAAACGTGCTGGTGAACTAACGGAAGATGAAGTTGAACGTATTATTACAATAATTAGTAATCCACGACAATATAAAATTCCTGATTGGTTTCTCAATAGACAAAAAGATATAAAAGATGGCAAATATCTTCAAGCAACATCAAATAATCTTGATACTAAAGTTCGTGAAGATTTAGAACGTATGAAAAAAATTCGTGTTCATCGTGGTCTTCGTCATTATTGGAATTTACGTGTACGTGGTCAACATACAAAAACAACTGGTCGACGTGGTCGCACTGTTGGTGTATCAAAAAAGAAAGCTTAAAAAATAACAATGAAATAAATATTCATTGTGCTTATTCTTGGGTTTTTTTTTCTTATATATAAGAACAAGAAATTTAAAAAAAATTTAACAACCAAAATAAGAATCATAATAACAAGAACATTCATTTTTTTTTGTTGGTATTTTTTAGATTTATATTTCTTTTTCATATCGATATGACACAATTTTTACCACCAAATTTACTTGCATTATTTGCACCACGAGAACCAATTCCATTTTTACCACCAAATGATAAATTACCACATGAAAAAAAACGTTTACCATATGGTGGTTTAGCTGACTTTATGAATAATTTTGAAGTATATGAAAATAAGATCTAGAAAGATATTTTATAATGAATTTCATTTTATTTTATAGGCTGCTCATGAAACACCACCACCAACAAGAATTGAAACAAAAGAAGAACGAGTTGCTAGAAGAGTAAATAAAATTCATTTTTGAAATATAAATTATTGTTCTAATATATATGATTTATTTTTTAGGCACGTGAAAAAGCTGAAAAAGCAGTTCTTCAACTTGAAGAAAATCTTGCTTCATGTAATTATTATTTAATTCTTATTTCATCAGTACTTATATATTTTCTTTTTTAGGGGATCCAAATAGTAATGAAGCAGCTACAGCTGATCCGTACAAAACTTTATTCATTGCTCGACTTGTAAGTATAGATTTGATTTTAATCAAAAGAAAACATCATTATTCCTTTTATAGAATTACGATACATCGGAAACAAAATTAAAGCGTGAATTTGAAGTATATGGAAAAATTAAAAGTGTAAGTTAATTAGAATTTTCATTGATAAAATGTTTTGTGAAACAAGATCTAAACGGAGTGTTGAAATATAGCGGTAAAATTTTGAAATTTCCACAGACAGTGACAGACGTTAGTCAGAGATCACGACAGACACTAGCTCAAGGTCATCAGAGACACTAACCAGAACCTGTCAAAGACTATGAAAGACGCTAATCAGGGATCATGACAGATGCTAGCTCGAGATCATTACAGACACTAGCCAGAGACTGTCACAGATGTTGTTGATATACGATTATAGACAGTATATCAATAATGTTTCACTATATTGCTTTATTACATTTCTGAAGGAATAAGTATCGTAAAGTAATGTGTCCAAAAATAAAAAATCTTTCTGTAATTAGCAGCTACATCTTATTTCACAATTTAATCCTGCAGGAATTGCATTATGTTTTATTTTTGTTATATTTGAATTTTTTAGATACATTTAATACATGATACACAAACGGGTAAACCACGTGGTTATGCGTTTATTGAATACGAAAAAGAATCCGATATGCACGGTAGGTGGTTTAATGAAAAGCATCATTTTAAGTTTAAATTTAAATCGAGTTGGAAAAAATTAGTTCAGATTTATTATTACTAATTTTTTTTTTTGATAGCATATGAAATAGAAATATGATATTTGTTTCTGAAACCTTTAAAAAAAATTCTGTTGTTTTTTTTGCAAATATGCAGGTGAGTGAGAATGATCTTTTCCCCCGTTTTTTTTCTATTCGAATTATTCGTAAAGGTTTGTTGAGTTATTTCTTTTTCATTCGTTCTACATGCGTTAAAACGCAGCAGTTAAATTCGTCCCATTTGTTTCGAGGCTATTGTCCGTTGCCTGTTTGTCTTCTAGACACGCAACAGCATCGATGCGTGTGAGACACCCAGTTGTTTTGCTGAAACCATTTGTGTACGTATAAATCTACATATAAAATATGGAAAAATCAGACAGGTATATATACTTTTTTAAATGGAAAACTAATCAGCGCCAAGCGCATTTTTCCAGAGAAAGAAAAAAAAAACTTTATTCGAGGTTTGTATATACATATATATAAATATATATATAAATCGGGTAAGACAAGAAAAAGAATTTAGAAAAAAAAAAAGAAATGGGTAAGCTCAAAATACGTTTAAACAGTATTATCACCTGATCTAAACCCTTCGAAAAAATAAAAAGGTAATAACAATTAAAACAGGTGAGAATCAAATACAGATTTATCTTTTTTTTTTATACATTTTATTCTTTTCTACGATCCCAACCCCGTTTTTCGTTTGTATAAACAAACAGCTGTGAGTAAATGGAATTCTTTTTCTTTTTGGTACCTTAATCCTTTTTTCCTTGGAAAGTCACAAAAGAAAAATCAGTCTATATATAAGATTAGCAATGAGGGTAAGTCGATTGAGGTAAGATAATAAAAAAAAAACATGGTCAAATCGTCGATGATATTTTGTTGTGTTGACGGTAAGCACTTCACTTTCAGCGGCCTACAAACGAGCTGATGGACGTAAAATTGATGGCCGACGTGTTGTTGTTGATGTTGAACGTGGTCGAACAGTCAAAGGATGGCGACCAAGACGATTAGGTTTGTATTTTGATATTTGTTAAAAATAATTATTAATTGATGATTATATTTTATTAGGTGGTGGTCTAGGTTCAACACGTCGTGGTGGTCCACCGGGAGGTAAACGTAGCGGAACCGATGACCGTCGACGATCGTCATCACGAGATCGAAAACGACGATCCAGATCTCGAGGTAAATTAATAATATTGAAGTTTGAAAAACTTTTATTAAAGAAAAAAAATTTCTTATTATAGATCGTCGTCGTAGTCGAAGTCGTGAACATAAACGTCGTATGTATTAAATTTATTGTTCAAATTAAAATCTATTGATTATTTTCTGATATCTAGGTCGAACTCGTTCTCGTTCCAATGAACGCCGTAGTGATCGTCGTTCATCACGCGATCGTCAAGATTCATCGAAACGTCGATCACGGGATCGTGGTCGTCGTACGGGTAATTATCGAGGTGAGAATGAGGTAACTAACAATAATGGCAATGGACCACATGATACATTCGGAATAAATGATGGTTATTAAAAAAAAGAAAAAAATTATATTCGTGAATATACCTATGTGTGTGTGTGTGTGCGTATGAAAAAATTTGTTTTTTTTTTCGTGTATAAAAGCAAAACAAGATGATTATTGCTTTTTTTCTCGTAACGTCTATTATTTGTGTGTTCGTTTTTTTTTCTTATACATAAAGTCTCAGTCAACGAATTGGGAGTCATCGTTAATTTTAACTAGAGAATGATATGTATATAATTGCAAGGGATTTAAGAATTGAACGAATTTGTTTGAATAGCTGTGTCTTTATACAATTAATTCGATTGATATGAATGAAAAGTGAAGATTTACTATCAAAACATACAAGATATTAGGTGATAATAATAAAAGAAAAATCATATGTTTTTTCTACTATTTTGAATCGATTATATAAACTAAATTCAGACCTATGCTCATAAGTATTGATAGAAGAAGAGATATTTATTACAGCAACACAATAGATGCTTACATACAAATGTCAAATTATTTCACAGACTGGAATCATGCAAGATCGAGCGGTAATTACTCATACTATCAATCATATCTGACCGAGATAAAAGATTTGACTAGATCATATTGATATTTCCTTTCAACTCATTATTCTTCTAATATTATTTCGTTGGCTGATAGACTACACATATTTTGAAGACGATACCAATAACAATGTTGTTTGAAAATAAGTAGCAAAGAGTATGAAATAAATCTTGTATCTCAAATATTCTTCATTAGCTATTGAGATGTTCCATTTCGCAAATAATATCTATTAAAGTAATAGATTGACAAACTGGAATTAAATTTCGTATTAATAAAAATCTGTGTAAGACAATTGCATATAATGCTTACATATAGATTAAAAGCTCTTTTTCGAATTTTAACGGAAGAAAGATATGAAAAGTAATATCTAAATTGTCTTTATCATTGAGTCTTGAAAATATTAGTTCTAGAAGTCAAGTTAAACATTAAAGTTTACCGAAGTTTTACTTCATCGATAAAATCTAACTTTTAATTAGTTTTGAAAATGACAAATATGTACTAGAACCAATATTTTAATCAGTGGTATAACTCAGCATTGAAGGTAGCAGAATGGTTAAGTCCCAGAAAAAAACGACATTGCGTGAACAATTTTTAAAAGCAAGGGACGGCTTCACATGTCCTCTCGATAAGTAACATCGTTGATTTTAATATAAAGAAAATCAATCTAATAGTTTTTTTTTAATCGAATTAATTGTCTGAGAAAGAATGTCATATAAAAGATCTTTTTCAAATTATTACTCTACATTTCACAAAAAAATTTTTTTTAAAGTTCAGCTGACGTTCAGTTGACATCAAACAAGGCCCCAGTCTAGTTTTTCGAGGTCTTTCTTACTCAACATTTTATCATATTTTCATGTATTATCTTCAATGTTTTCATCAATAATATCAGAGTAGCCCATAGAAAATACAATTTATGCCAAACAATCTTGCCATATTGTTTCATCAGACGCGTAAATGTATTCTATTGCAATACAGATAAAACTAACGTCTTTGCAACGAATCAACTACGAGTATGTATATTATTTGGCACGTTCTTTTTACCACTATGGTCACGTGTATTAATGTAGTTTTATAAAAACACAGTCATAAAAATAACGCAATGTGTCTTTACGCTTGCAATACGACAAGAATAGCAAACTTTTAAGGTAATATTTTTTGCTACTATCAGTGAAATGTAGTCAAAAATAAAGCTAAGAAAAAATTTATTTATTTTCTAATTTTATCTTATATAAGGACAAATTACTTAAGTCTTTTTGTTTATACATTCGTTATCAATACAAATTTGGTATGTAATTTTGATGGTACATTCCTTTCAGTTTCATGTGTTATATGTCTCGTATAACTCGAAACATTTTTGTTTATTTTTTTAACACCCACAATCGTAGACTAATTAACTTTTTATGCTATAATTCGTTCAAACTTAGTAAAAAAAGCAAGCTGATTAATATTAAAGGATATTTCGCATTTTCATATATGATAAATTGATTCGAAATAAAAGATATTTATGAATGTTATCTTAATTATGAAACCATTTCAATACCGCAAAGTTTCAATAAAAGTATATAAACAAGACTGATCGGAACGAATTATTGAGACAAAGTTTCGAGTTAGTTGTGTCTTTTTTAGTATTCAGTCGAACATTCATTAAAATACAACGTACGATAGTAAATTATGCAAAAATTTAATAGGCTTCGTAAGAAATAAACTGAAAATGAATTGAATTTTCTCTTCATAGAACGTAAGAATTTGAGCAGAGCTTCGTTAAAGAAAAAAAAGTAACTTTGTAATGCAAAACACCTACCAGAGCAGCCAATTCTCGATGTAGGCGCATTAAAGATTTAATAGCATTTTAAAACTATTTCAGAGAAAAATTAGAAGAATATAAGTGAAAAATGAATTAAAACGCGTCTATTCTATTGTATAAAACCAATGGTTTTGTTATTTCTACATCCATCTTGAACAGTTCAATCGTAATGATATGAAACCCAAAAAACTTTTTAAAATATGAGAAATATTCAATTAGATTTAAAACTTTTGAATGTACGGAAAAAAACAAGATGTTTCTCTAAAACTTCTATTACATTATTAATTTATAAGACATATCCTTCCAATATTCTAATAGTCACAAATGCTGATCATTATCTTTTATCTATCTAAGAAGAAAAAACATTCTTTAAAGCTCAATAAATAATTGTGACATTCTTTAATCCTTTAGAATAATTAATATTAAGTATTCAATTCAAAAACAATAATACTTCATTCAAATTTTACCAGAGAATCTACATTTCTTATTTAATGAATCAAGTCTATAAGCTAACTCGGTTAATAAAACTTTTGTAAACATCACCATCTGAAAAAAGTTTCTTATTTGAAAAAATTAATTTCTATTATTATTTTCAAAATTTGACAATTAAAAATGATAAACAATTAGAAATTTAGAAAACAGTTTTTTTTTATCTAAGCCAAAAGTGTTCTTTTTTCTTAATTAAAATTATTCAATTGATAATAATCATCAGGATGTTTTACTATGATCATTTTATGATCTATTTATTGATTCAGATTCATTCGTCGTATTCGATGATGAATAATTGAATGTTGTTGATGAATTTATTTGTTGTGTATTAGTATTAAAAGTATAAGAATTTGTTGTACGAGTATCACTTGATAGTAATATATTTGTATTTAATTGATTATCAGAGTTACTATTTGTATTATTATCATCTCGAACTTCTAGAAATATGATATTGAATGAGAGACAATGAACTATATAGTACACAATGTATAATTTTAGTCTTACTTTTATAAGTACATGGATCACTACCATTTAGATTTCCACTCATGATTAATTGATACACGTGCGATCTTTATCAGTTCGTCGTGCTATTGTCAGCCGAGTTATACTTGCAGTAAAAAAAATAGAGCACACGATTATTGTTCCTATTGTGAATACAAGAGTATATAAAGTTTAATGGAACAATTGAATATTATCTTTTTTTTTCTTATTCTTTCAATAACAACAACAAATATGCCAGCCAAGAATCATAGTTATCATTCAAAGTGAGTCATTGTCTAGGCTGATTTTCTACGTGTGATTAAAATAGAATTGTTTTTTCCGCTTTTTTAAATATAATCACGTGCAAAATCACGTGAGGTTTAACTTTAATTCTTGTAATGTATTATTTAAATGTCTAATTGATTAAGATAATTGGTGACACAAAAGTTCTTCATTAATTTTGTCATTAGTATTGTGTGTCAATAATTCATCACGCGACTTTGATAATTTTTTCATTAGAAAAAGAACAAAGTCTTAACTAACAAACTTTGTACAAATATTCAGTTCAAAATAATTGCCGAAGATTGAACAGTTTTAAGAACGTGTTCAACTAAGAAAAATGTCTTACAACTTCATACAAAATCAATCATGAAAAGTGTATTTGATCGATTCGTCTTGTACTTGACTTTCAAACATGTTAGGCATATAATGTGTGAGTGTAGCCAATGTGATACGGGCTTTCTAGTGGTATCAAAATATTTGAGTTACAAAACCATAAATTTCATTTGAAACAGTTTTATGAAAAACTTGATTTTTTATTCTATAACGCTCAATGAGATTTTTCTCAAAATTTTTAATGTTCTACTTTGTATAACTAACTTCGATTGCTGTAAAAAAAGAATCTTATTTCTTGACATCATTTATTAGTTGTGAACACTTTTCACTACCAAAGGCTGTTAGAACAAATGTCGATTTCGAATTCGATTAATAACTTGAAAATTTTCTTTTTTACCTATTTACATAATCCTATTATTGAGCTGCAAAACTTGATAAAAGACGGAAAATAAGATTAACTTTCTTAGTGGATAGAAGTTTTCTTCTAAATTCCAAAAACGTTTAGAGAAATTTTCCAGTCAAATGTGTTCTTAAAACTTTTCAATCTTCAGTAAATATTTTGAATCAAATATTTGTACAAAGATATATAGTCAAAACTTTGCTCTTTCCAACAAGAAAACTATGAAGTCTCCACGATGAGTTGTTGTCATGCTATACTGAAAACAAAAATTAATACAGAGCTTTCAAATTAACTGTTAAGAAACCTACATAGACACAGAGGAATGTATACGTATCGAATATATTTTATACATTTTTCTCTGACGGAGAATGTGGTGCATAGAATGAAACTGAGACTATTTAATCGAAATACCATCTCAGTCTTTCTCCCTTGTCGTCTATATACTTATTGTAGGATGCTTGTGCATTCAATCAGTTATACTTCTTCTTATCTTGATAAACATTTGCATATAACTTTTGATTATATGTATCATGCAAATTGTTCTGTTGAAACATTTCTATTGATAGAACAATTATCTCGTGTCACCATCATGTATGCTTTAATACTTGTTTTTTTTAGCAAAAAAAAAAGAGTAATGAAACAAACGCAAAAAAAAAGGAAAGAACAAAAAAAAAACAAACACAACAAAAGATTTCAAGATTCTCATGTATGTGACGATGTGTGTTGTTCGCTTGTGCAATATATAAGGAACAGACATCAATAGCAAAAAAAGAAAAACAAACGGGAAAAAGGAAATAGACAGATAGGCCAAACGCACACAGACAGATGATTAACATCACCAATGAAAGTGAGAGACATAAACGAAGCAAAAAAAGCTAGATTTATAGAAGTAGTAGAAGAAAAAAAAATGAACATGAAACATACACATCAAACGAATAGGATGAGGATCACAAAAAAAACCAATATTAAAGATAATATAATATAACATGGCAAGTTTTTTTTTTTTCGGTTGCTGGAAGACAAGTGAATATTAAAGTCGGTTATTTTATCTCTGTATGTATATATTTTCTTTCACTCCATTCATAACGATGAAACCATCCCACAATGATTAAGACGACTAAAGAGATCATGTACAAAAACATGAGAAAAGAAGAAGAAAAGAAGGATAACAAAACAGAGCGAAAGAAAAATCAGCAACCCAAAAAAGAGAAAGAGAAAAAGAGAGATGAACATATTCGCATGCTAACTCGACAAATAGGTGGTAATAGTAATTATAATAATAACAAAACGAAAAACCATGTGTATTTCATTTTTTAGTTTTTGAATGGAGTAGCAATATAGAAATAAACAAACAAACAAGAGAAAAAAACAGAAACTTAAAAGACAATAAATCGATTTATATATTGTTGCCGATGTCATTGTGTTTTTTTTTTTTGGGTATCTCTTTCTACTGTTCTTTATTTAACACCGTTCAATTGTTGTTGTTGTTGTTGTTGTTTTGGCATTCGTTGTGCTTTCGGTTCATCATTATAACTACTACCATTAACTGTTTCAGATGTTGCTCCATCACCTGAATAGAGTCCATTATTATTTGATGATATTTGTTGAGGTTGACTTGATGTTGATGTTTGTTGTTGTTGCTGTGATTGACCGCTACTGTAATAATTATCTTCATAGTAATCATCTTGATTGATATTATTTCGATTTTTTCCATTTCGATAACCACGACCACCACGACCGAGACCATATCGATTATTATAATTATTATGTTGGGAAGAATACTGATCGTCATACTGTTGTTGACCTTCTATAAAAGCAAAATACAAAATAAAACAATTTATTTTTCAAATAAAATTTTTAACTAACCATTTGTTTGTTCAGTGTCATACACAGTACTATCATTATCATTATTTCGACGTCGATCGCCATAACCTAACGAATAAAAGAAACGTTTTGTTTTTAAAATTTAATTAAAATAAAAAAAAAAAATCAGTGCCATTTTCATACACAGCAACCATGCTTTTAGTACAAGAAATATGCTGTTTATCTATACATGCGATTGATAATCTTCTTATGACTATGCGCATTCATAAAATGAGTACTAAATTTGTTCCACTAGGTTTGTTTGCCATTTTTTTCCGCTACGGTAAGTATTAGAAAGTATCCATAAGAAAATAAAAAATATTATCAAGTTTACAGAGATAGAAATTCTAGAAAACTCAATATAATTTTATTTAAACTATATAGTACGATAGAACAAACAATACTCTACAAAATGAGACGTCTTCAAGTTCTTTGTTGTGTTTTTTTTAGTTGAGATATATCAACCTTACGAAAGCCCCTCAAGTTGTTTTTTTTTTCCGATTTGTCTATAGAAAAACCATTCTTCGACCTTCAATCAAATTGGCGTCTCTCATCCAAAAAAAAACATCGTACAAAACTCGGCTATGTCTCATTATGTAGATGATAGTTTATTCTATCATTCTATATAGTCTAAACAAATTTATATTTACACGCTCTAGGTATTGAAAAAACAACTAGGGTTTTAGTTGCCTGGAGTTCCTATCTCAACAAATCTGATAATAATTTTTATTTCCTTATGAACCCTTTCTAACACTTACAGCCATGGAAAAAGAATTCAAAATAAACCTTGTTGAATAATTTTGGTACTCATTGTATACATATACACATATGCAATGGCATTAACCAAGCAAAAACAGAAAATAACAGGCATGATTTGTAAGCACACCTTTATGAACAGGTAATGGTGGTCTACTACGTTTCCAACCGCGTCGTCCTCCTCGTCCACCAGCACCTCTCGGTAAATTATTCAACTGTATCATACTATCAGTACTATAACCAGTCTCACGTTGTTGTTCACTTTCGACCTGAGCTGCCCAGTCCCGATGTTTTCGACCGGTACTAATTGTTGATGATAATGCATCACCACACTCACTCGCTTCATCTGTGAAGATAAATAGTATTTATTTATATCCATATATTCTCATCAACAAACAAATTCATTTTGTAAAAACAAAAAACAAGAAAAAAAAAGATTCTCGCTTGATATTAAACTTACCACCAGTGCCAGCATCACTTTGTGTACCACCGCGATATGAATGTGGACCTGGACCACGGCGTCCACGATTACCACTACCAGTTGGATAATTATTCGGTCGACGTGATGATTGTTGAGTATTATTATTACTGTCATTACGTTGTTGATAACCTGTATCACGATAATTTCGTGTATTACCAGAGTTACTCATTCGATCCGATTCATAACTATAATAAAAAATAAATTAATAAAAACAAAATTCTTCTTCTTCTTCGAAATGAACTCTTACCGTTGTTGACGTCCACTTTGATAAGGCATATTATTATTAGTTGAATTCATTCCGGCAGTTTGTTGTGGACCAATTATAGTACGAAATTGTTCACTGACTTGGATTTTTTTTTCTTGTAATTCATCGAATTCCTTTGAAAAGAAAATATAATTGTTCAGTTGTTTTGTTTTTCTTAATTTACTTTTAAACAAGCCATATGATAATCAAGTAAAACTTTGGCATTAGTAATACTTTCAACTGTACCAACAAATACAAACGGAACTTGACTCTATAATTAAACAAAAACAAAATAAACATTATAATGATCTTATTTTTTTAATTAATCAATCATACAGGATAATTAATTTCATCTGGTGATGTTGATTGTTCATTATCGCCTTCAATTTTAACTCGTATAACTCCACTTTTATCAACGATTTCTTGAATAATATGACCTTTTTTACCAATAACTTTACCTAAAATATTTAAATAATAAATAACAACAATAAGAAAAAAAAAAAAGGAATCTTATCATTCTTTACCAATAAGTTCTCTAGGAATCGATACAGTATCTTCAACATATTCAAGTATATTACGTGCTTCTTTAACAGCTTTTTCAGTCTAAAAAGTATTATTTTTTGTTTTGAAATCATTTGAACATAAGATAACAAAATGACATACATCACCGAATACTTTTATTGTACAAGAGTCATCTTCAACTTCAATAGCTGTTATACCGGGTACTTCTCGAGCTTTTAATATATTTGTACCATGTGCACCAATAGCAAGACCCATTAATTCATTTTTAACAGTAAATTTTTCAAAATATTTTGCTGTTTGATTAACCTTTATACGCTAAAGAAAGAAAAATAAAATATATTTTTTTTTAATTTACAAAAAATGCTCTTTTTATATTTAATAATTTTACTTCAAGTTGTTTATAAACTTTTTCAGTTTCTTGTACAAGTTTAGCTTTTGAACGTAAATTTCGAAAATGCATATCGGATAAGATTTGAGCACGATGAATAGTAGCATCATTATCTGACTGTTAAAAATAATGAAAAACAAACAAACAAACCTGATTACATAAATAAAAATAGAATCTAATAAACTTACGATGACTACAAGAGAGTCCTTTTGTTTATCATATCGAACAATGGCAGCACCTGTTGTTCTTTTAAAATCTTTATGATTCGCTGGATTGCTACATCTAATAATAAAAGAAAAGCTTAAAATTATTTCTAATAATAATAATAATTATTATTATTATTACACTTCTTGTAAGTCTTTGCCAACAGGTAATTCTACTCTTTTAAACGTTGAAGAAGTTATTGGAGGACTAAACATAATATTAAATTAATATTTAATCTCAGTATATGTGTGTATGTGTATACTTAGTATTTGGACAACGGATTTTATCACTAGGTACAATTTCCGAATAGTTGCTGCCTTGAGCAGTAGCTTCATAATCGACAACAAAAAACTCCCCTTTGAACATTTTGGCAATAGCTGCCCACCAAGCAAGTGGTTCACCTTCTTTTGTTTTAGATAGTACCTAAATAAATAAATACATATATATGTCTAGTTTTATTTGGATAAATATTTAATAGTAATTACTTCACATCGATCACCAGGTGATAATTTTTTGAGATCGACTGAGTCAGGTGGAAGTCGAACACGATTCTCGGAAAATAAAATTTTTGTTGGAGGGAAGAAGCTAAAAAGAAATATAAAGTTCTTTTTTTGTCTTTAGTTTGAATATTTTTATTGATTTACTCTTGCTCATATGCAATATCAACACCAGTTTCATCCACATCAATAATGTATGCCTATAGAAAATTATTTTATTTTATTATTTTTTCAATAATATTTTGTTTGTTTTTTTACTCACTTTGTAGTAGGAACCATTTGGATGTCCTACTTCAACGCTGAGATCTTCCATTTGGTATTTAATTAATTATCCTATATGAAATAATTATATTTGAACAGATCGAACGCCTGAATGAGGCGATAATAATAATCGGAAATAGTATAATATATACAGTGTCTAATGCATGCAATTGATAGTCGAATAATATAGTGCTATTTTCTTTTATATAGAAAAAAAGACGTAATATCTTGAAAAAGAATAGGGGCATATACAGAAATGATTATGTAACAAAACTAAGTAACAAATCGTTTATTTCCAAGATACTCTTTGTGGGAAAAAATCTGTTCTTTTTTTTTTTAACTTTAAGAATGAAACGATAAGAGATGAATGTTGTTGTACTTTTGCTGTGTGCCTCTATTTTTGTTATGTCTAATGGGAAAAAAAGAATTCGAATAGAAGTGTGAATGTAAGGAAGTCTTGCTTGTTTATTTGCTTTTTTTCTCTTACTAATAGCTACTTGCTGCTATGTTAGTCAATGGTAAATTATGGAATAACCTTCTGTTAAAGAAAAAAAAATGGCTGATATGTACATATTTTAATTAATTATAGAGATATTTGAAAATTACAATTAGTTCTATACAAGCCTATGAATATAAATTAGACTAGAAAGAATATAAGATTGAGTGTGTTAGATGTCGCACTTTAACATGTTCCTGAAGGTTATTGCACGCATGCAGGGAGAAATAAGAAAACAAGCAGTCTATTATTAGAAATTCTTCAGAAAAGTTGTCCCTTGAAGTCAGAAAAGATTATCGGATGAGAAAGAAATGTGTTAATATAATAACTTACTGCCGAAACGAATGTCAAAATGGTTGTTTTTTTTACATTCAAATAGAGTTTATATTTGATTAGATTTTAATTACTATAGAATTATGGCGCTATTTTTTCATCATAATTGAATTAAAATTAGAAGAAATTCTGTTTTTTTTTTAGATTAATATTTATAGAAATAATTAGGAGTACAATAAACTCACTGCCTTTTGACATTATTGGAGTTTAGATTAAGTTTCCATTTGAATTTGGATTGACTCTTTAGCAAAAATAATATAAATAGTTGTTTGAGATTTAATAACAGTTATCAAAGAGTCAATGATTTATGTGAATTTTGTTGAAAAGTAATTGTATGCTTCAAATACAAATAGAAACATACAGACCAAGGTTTTGGTTTCAAACCTATTCTAAATTTGTTTCACTTCTAAGAATTATTATTTAGTTATACATAACAGTGCAAAATTACTGAATAATTAGAATGAATAAAAAGACTTTCTATATCTGTTTGAATACATATTTTTATCGATGAAATATTTAACATCATTGTTAGAAGTGTCATACGCCTAGTACTATTGCCGATAAATGATAAGTGGTTTGGATGTTTCTGACGGCAGGCTATTTACATTAACTAATCGATTCTGTTTCAGATTATTAACGCTTTATATAACAGACTTTAGAGTGTGTAGGCTGTCTAAGTTTTGAGTCGCATCCTAATTTGTCGAGTTACAGCCAGAATAACCTTTTTAAATAGCACTCATTTGAATGTTTATCAAGGACTTCTTTATCTTATAAATAAGAACAAAAAAGAAAATCAGATTACAGCATAATATTACTATCGAGTTTGACTAGTTAGTAACATGTTTTTTTATTTTTTGCATGGCTTGATATCTAAACATAAATCTATCTAAAGATTCATCATCAGCAAAAATCATTAGTAATGATTGCATCATTATATTTACATTTCTGACTTTTTTTATTGTCATTAACTTTATTGTCGTGAATGAATATATACATTAATGCCAGAATGTTAACTACAAAATTGTTTAATTCATACTTTCAATGGGAATTCTAATTTACTTATTTGAATGGCATAGTTTGGATTTTCTTTGAAGTTAAAGTATGTTTTTTTTTTTGTTAAATTTTCAATATTCTTATTCAATGAAATTTCGAACTAAAGTAAAAAATGAAGATATTTTTATCTAAAAAGAATTTAAACTCGTTGAAATTTCTATATATTCAAAAGATTTTTATGGCATTGAAATCAAAAAAACTTTAACTTTAACCTTGGTTACACTTTATTATATTACTTTTAGAGTTAGTGTTACATCGATTACTGACATATACACTGCATTTGACGAGTTGACAATGAATTTTTCAACAGCTTACAATATGTAATTATTTTCTCCGCTAAACAAGATTCTTTAGTTTATATGTTGATTGAATAGATAAAAATAGCATAATATTCGATAAGTATTAAGCACTGTATTTAAATAATTATAAGTAAATAGAACCTCGTTGATTTAATAGTTCATTATTGATTTCATGAAAAAATCACGAATTGTTTGTCTTCAGCAAGAACGTGACAGTGATAGGAACTGAAGTAACTAATCATCAATTACCCATTCGAAAAGTTAATCAAGTAGATTCTATTGACTGCTTATCAGTTTGATGAAATTTTAAGTGATTTGTTTCTTTTCGTATTTAACTGAAGATCATCAAAAATAACATAAACATATTGCATTTTTTATGAAAATATTTGTTTTCTATTAGCCACTCAAAAAAAAAGTATCTAATTAACTAAATGTAAATAGTCTTGAAAATACTGAGTGTAATTAAAAGATTGAACTTTTTTTTTAATTTTTCTTCGATTTTTCCATCAACTCAGATCACTTCATGAAAATTACTAAAGCTTTGAAATTTGGTAAAAAAACATTCAGAAAAAAAAAATATTAAATTATAAATTCTTGTAAAATAATCATGTCTTTCTTAGAAAGAAAAAGCCAAAAGTAGTACTTCGAAAACAATTCAACTGCGTTTCTCATGGTGATAATTACACCAATTTTTCATGATATCCCTCTGTGTGATCTTTTTTTTCTCTTTCTTCTCTCGTACTCAAGGTTGTAGCAGATGTGACATAGACACAACATTAAATGGCAAAGTAGTATAGTTAGCATCCATCCTGTGAGTAGCGTTAGCGCTACTCTTTCACATTCTCATTATAGTTGGCAATAAAATAAATGACTAGCTATACTAAAGAAAAAATCCATCAAATTTCAAGTATAATTCTATAGATTGCTAAATAAAAAACATGAACGTTTTATTTTATTCATTCTTGATATTAGCAGATATAAAACGAGGTAAAATAAAAGATGGATTGATCGTGTCCAAAATTTTAAGAATTTGTAAAACATTCACAGTTAATCTTTGCACGATATTATACTGATATACTTTTACACAAGAAGTGAACTAATCAAATTATATCAACTGAAAAATCAGAACTGATCCTCTTCAATTGTATAAGTTTAAATTGACTCTGATGGCAGTCAATTTCATTGATTTGATGATGAATTCTAATAATCAAGGTTATCAAATATGTTTCATTGTTTAATTTACTTCTCATATTTATACAAGAAAGATTATCACAATGTTTTGACTACATCATAGAAGATATGTAGATAAATAGAGTAAGACTTGCACTATACTAGAAGGTATATATTATTAAATCCTGATGCATATCCTTCAAAAAACTTAGGCCGTGTACGTTCAGATCACATGAAATTTTTAGGTGACGTTGAAGTCGTAGCGGAGAGAGTATAATAAAACGTTTAAATCTATACCATGACGTTTTCAGGAGATATTCAACAAACAAAACTCAAAAATAACTCATTTCGCAACCGAAAATTCTCTGTGGATTTTCATTCTATGCAGAACACGAGATAGCCTTGTTTTAATTCTTACTTTTTAAGGAGAAAATACAGAAATGAAAATTTTGATGCCTCGAAAACATCTCAAAAAGTGCGTTCTAATTATTATAAAAGTGCTCTTTCATATAATTGCAACAATGCTTCATTAAAAAGTATGGTTTAGTCATGCGCTACATCTTGACATGCTCTTTTAAACAAAATCAAGACAAAGGTGGCTATAATGAAGCTCTTTCGAGAATTCTGGAATGTGCCATTAAAAAGCTTAACTAAATACAAAAGAAAAACAAAGAATTTCTTGTTTTTTTCTGACAACAGCATATTTTTCAAGCAATTGATGACAGAAATCATCAAAAATCTTCGCCAAAAACGAGGTGCCGAATAAAAAAAACTGATGTCATTTATGAAATATGATGCCTCGAGCTATCCTCTCATACATTTATCTTAATTTCGATAATTCTAACAAAGATTGGCTTTCTTTTTGAGGGCATCTCAAGGCAGATTTTCCTACGTCACTACACTGAAAAAAAGGTGCCATACAGAAATTTTTTTTGAAACGAATTTGAAACCCTCAAAACGGTTTCGTAGGTTTCCTACGAAACTTGTAAAAGGTTTAGAATTCGTTTCAATTCTCGAAATCTTTTTTAAGTTTACGAAACCCTCTTTGGTTCGGTAATCACAAAATTTTTTTCCAGTGTAGAGAATTCATGCAGAACCAAGTCGGATTGAGTTCCGATGTATGTACGCAACAGAATTTTATAATATATATATACCTTTGGACAGAGAGTATCTTCCTCTCATCTGTAGTCATTAATTATAATGAAACTTAGAGTTGCTTCTTTTTTACAACTCAATACTTGGTCATAAAATATCTATATGTGAATAAAACAACACCTTTTCAAACTATTGATAAGTTATGAAATAAAGATAAGACAAATCATTTTTAAAATTAGTTCCATTCATTTACTCGATTCAAATTTTTACGAAGTTTCTATTTTACGATCAATAACAAAAGTTTCAAAATCGATTAATAAATCAGATAATGCGAATTTCTTTCAGCTCAATCTAAACATAGGTTAAAATCTTTTTACCTTAGAATCAATTTTGCCAAGTCCGATTCTTTTTGAAAATGTTCCACTGCCTATATTCTTTGTGTCTATCAGCAAACAAAGCACAGTAAAGGAATGAGAAAATGAATGTAATTCCAAGAAGCATTCACAGTAAGGAGAGTATCACACTTACTATTACTGCTACCTATTAAGATGGCATTGAGTTTTTTTATGATTGATATGTTTTTCATTTAGCATTAGTAGATGATTATTTCAAGTATTTATAATAGAGATGATCAAGTCTGAAGTCATTGTCTTGAACTTTTTTCAAATTTCATGATTTAATTATATATCAATTTGCTGGGAAAAGTTTTACATTAGTCCATGATTACATTTGAGCATGGTAAATGTTTTTTATGTTTTTCTTGACATATTGGCCTTATGTTCTTGAAAAAGAAAATCAATTTGAGAAAATATTACTTCTATAGGTAATAACATTGTAAGCACTATCAAAAATTTCCTTTATAATTCGCTCAATGATTTATACTCTTGCGAATGATTATTATTAAAGGTCTAAGAAAAAACTTTTGTGCTTTGGTATTGATTATTATTGGTAATTATTCACCATTTGTAGTATTTGTTTCAACTATTGCTGTAGACTAATAATTATATTCAAGTATGATTAACGAATAGAAATTTCATATTAGAACAAAACATATAACTTTCCATAATGTGAATTTGATATGTATTTTAGTTGCAGCAATTTGTCTGACTTGATTCGTCCGTCTCTGATTGATAGTGTATTGTGACATAATAAATCTCATCAAATATGAATTACATGGTAATGGTATATATATGTTGTCTTGAACTATGAATGAATCATTTACGTTAGTTAAGATAAACTTGATTAGATTTTCTACCTCTTGTGTTCCCGATTATCGGTGACAAGAAACAGTAGTCGTTAGCAGATATTCATAAAATATTTGTTGACTTAACTGTGAACAACGGCAACTGATTAAGAACTAGATGAAGGATTCAATTTGACCATTCATTTACGAAAATTTTCCATAAACAATTCGCACGATTCTGACTTCTTACCTTCAAAAACTTGCAGTCAAATTTTATAAAAATTATAATGTTTTCGCAAAGCAGATCTCGTCTGATCGAAAGAATCCCAATAAAAAAATTTGACAAATAATTATTCGATCGAATCTTTTATATAGTTTTGTTTAGTTGATATGACCCACAAAAGATTCATTAGTGACCTAAGCCTTGTTAGTAGCCAAAAGAGTAAGAAATCTAGCTAGGCTCGTGATAAAGAATATAGATGAGTCATTCGGAGTCCAATATTAAAGGACTTAGTGGTAAATGATGATGATTACTACTTAAGAGTAAAAAACCAAATGCAAAAGTATTTAATTATCGTTGCTAGAAAAAATTCTTCTAATCACAAAAAATACTTGCTGTGACCTTGATAAATAAAAAATAGAGGCAACAGTGAGTATGACAATCCTAATCACTATACTTAAACGTATATAAACTCGAGATTAAAAAGAACTTTTTATTTACGGTTCAATGAAAACTATTTTGAGAGTTACTTTGTTTAGGTTATTATTCAGATCAATAGTAAGTAAAAAAATAGTTCGAAAACTTACTCTTAGGAACAAATACGAAATTTTAACAATTTATTCAATAAATATCACAGAAAACTTCAAGAAACATCATTGTATAATAAGAAAAATATAACATGTACAATATGATTCAAAGAAGTGTGATCTTTAAGTTCTTTCAATGAAAAATCAACATATAGACGAACATAATGCATGACAAATGTTGAATGTTTTCATTGAAATATTTCTTATTTATTTTAGAAAAGATTACATTGAGTAAATATAATTTCATGATGGTTGAACTAATTGTGTTGTTGATGATGATAATATTGTCGTTGACATAGTTGGTGTTGTATCATCGAATGCATCATTAATCTCTTGTAACTGCTGTACAGTTTGTTCATAAGATGGTGGTTTACCATAAATACTATCAATTCTTGCTGAATAACGAGGTGGATGTGAATAATTATATGATTCTTGTTGATGCTCATCGGTATTGTTAATCGAAGTAACTGTTGTCATATTGGTTTGTTGTTGTTCTATAAAAATCAACTTTTACTTCACAATAATAGTTAGTTTATGTTTCATACCTCTTATGAACCATTTATTTCTATATCGAAAATAAGCAGATATAACAATAACAATAATTAAAATAATAAACGGTACAATAACTCCTACGACACTAGACGACAACAAAAATTTTTTTCTTTTATTTTTCAATATTTAAATTTGCTTACAAATAAACGGCAGTATTTACAGGACACATGATAGTTTCATTTCTTCCAGCATTATAACATTCAACCATTATTTCAAAATTATAGATAAATAAATACAATAATGCGTAAATTTAACCCTCGTGTTTACCTTTATTTATTACGCTTTTCGCACCAACAGTTTCTTATTAATCATGCTCCAATCAAAAATATACTTGATATGATCAACAAGTCAGTTGTTTTTCTCCTTTTCTTGTTTTGAAGTAACAAATCAATAGAAAAACACACATACAAGGGCACACATTGCTTAGCGTTTACTATTTCCCTGTCATTATGATTATGCATCATTTATGTACTGTATAGTCGCTTTAAGACTTTTTTCTTTACCTGTTCAGATTAAACCACCATTAGTTAATAGAATTGTTTATTTAAACAGATAATTAATGTATGTTGATAGTTGTTGCTTGTAACATTCAATAGATTATTTGTTTTTGTCTGAAGTATACATGCGAGAAATGTTGTTGAAGGAAAGCTATATGGTACTAATGAAATCTGAAGATTCTTTTCTGTGATTAAACATGAAATGTTTCTCATCATAGAATAATTTGACATTTTGATATTTCTGAATTTTTTTCATAAGAAATTTGTAAGTGCGAGTCTACATTCTAGTAGAGTTAGTTCGTTATTTTAAAGTGTCTTTCATTCTATTTTTATGATGAGTGCACTCCTCTTTTCTATGCAATATAAAATAACCATAATGTTTAGTAAAAACTTAAATAAACTGCAAAAATTATTTTGAGTCACCGTGATGAAATGACTTGATGAACTAGTTCCCTGATTAAATCAACGACATTTCAGTCATAAAATAACATTACTGTAACATTTGTATCTGTGCTCTTCTATTCAGACATGTTATCTAAGTATGTTTATATATTGATTTTCATATCTGCAAAGCTCGTAATCAACATGTTGAACATACTTTTACGAAATTTAACATGCAAAAGGACGATAATTCTTTCTAGATCTCTGTTTACGTCCTTTCTCAAAAAGTACAACCGTAAAATGAATATACCTTACATGAATAATAGAAAATAAAATAGTGGATATACAGTTGTTTGTATGAATGCAATACTGGAAACAATTTTATGCCAAATAAATAATTTGATAGAATGAATTTTATAAACGGTCTATGAAAAAATTTTGAATAAAATATGTGACTCATCGAGATGTTTATCGTCTTGATTTTGATAGAAAAGCAAGTGTTCTTTCAAGCATTTCATGATCAATTCTTACTATGCAGTTTGATAGGAAAAAGAAGCTAAATGTAATTTGTACTAAGAATAAATTTTAATAGTTTGGTAGAATGTTTATCGAAGCATATTGATAACGTTTTACACGATATATTTATATTCTGATTTTGTTTTCTATGAAATAAAACTTCACACAAGTTAGAAAAAGTTAAAAAAAAATAACTTTTTGACCCAGGTTTATTCTTTCGGGAGGTGATTTAAAACTTTGTGAGAGTGAGAAGCTTTTTTTTGGAACTCACAAAAGAAGTCCTTGATCTGGTAAATTGCGTTTGAGTCGAGATTTCGTGCCCTTATCTTATTGCAAAGGAGATACCGTAGTTTTATAGTATTTTCTTTTATTGAGTGCCATAGTCTCTCTCCTTTTGGAAAAACTGTTTTTTCTAATTTAGACTTGAAATTTTACATAAAGGTATAGGTTTTTTTGTGAAGGTTTCAGATCTTATCACTGTTCCTATTTTAAGATATAACTATGGTAATAGTGTATATTTTATATCGCTCATATAAACAGGCAGATTTAATGTTCTTAGTTCAGAATGGAAACAAAAAAAAAGCTTGAAACTACTCTCGTTAACACTAGTCTCTATGCAAAGTTTCAAATGAAAGTTCAACAAATTGGTTTCCTGGGAGGAGCACGATGGCATTAATCTTGAAATCTAACGTAAACAGCAGTATCTACGTAACAATAAGCAACGGATATGAACTCTTTTCTGAGTATTTCTAGTTCATTTGGATCTAAATAATAGACGTAGTTTGGACGCAAAAGCAATTTCTCAGTTGGATAACTTCCCTCATCAGACACCTTGTTTGTAGTGCAATAACTAACTACAAACTCCAGGAGAGCATATCATCTGATCTTCGGATGGGAGCTACTTCCTTGACTGCGATGTTGAATAAATCACTGTAACGATTTGCAAAATATCACTAATAACATTCTTGAAAAACAAACATATGAATAAATATTGAATATGTCTTCAATTATAAAACAAAAGCTGACAAATAGCAAATGTCTATTTTTCATTAATATTCACTTTTAAATTATATTTTTTAATCATACATTAATTTACTTTTCTTAGATTTATATTTTATTAGGCTTTATATTACTGATTATGATCTCATATAAAACATTTGCAAGCCTATTATAATATGTATCGTAATTTGAATTATAGCAACACTTGTTTATTTATTTAAGATGAAAATCATATATATACAGAAGAAAAAATATATATATTCAGTAGTTCATAATTAGTCTTTTCTTTGTAATAATGATATGAATTAAGTTGAAGTTCCACCAGCTTTTCCAGCTATATCACCTGGACGAATTCCTGGTAGAGCTGCATCTTGATGACCAAGTAAATTTTGTCCTGGTGTGATATTTTGTGTTACTACTGATTCATATAATTTAGCACCAGCTTCTTGCTGTTTTAATGCTATTTTTGATCTTTCAGCTTCATGTCCAATAGTACCATCTTCAGCAACAGGTGCACCTTCTTGCTTTTCCAATTCTAGTTGTGGAGCACTTGCCATATTTTTCGTATGTGTAAACGCAAAAAAAAAGAAGAAGAGAGACGTTTTATTAACAATGAATAGAGTTGATTGAGTATAAAACTTTTTCTCATTTTTTACTTCTTCACATGATTGATGCTATAGTAACACACGAATATAATTCAATGACGTTTTTTGTTTCTTTTGTTTCTTTTATTCATCAGAATCGAACCAACATAAACGTATGTGTGAAAGGAAAAAAACAGAAAGAAATAGATAGAGCAAAGAAAAAGAAAAGACGAAGAAGAAGAAAGGATTATTTATCATAGTTGTTTTTTTGTTTTTTGTGGTAATAAATTAACATCATAGCCGACAATGAAACATGAAGAAGATACAAGAAAATGAACATATATATCGTTCTATTTTGTTATTATAAATGAACTGAGATTGTTTCGCTTTTCATTTCGTCATAAAGGCAAACAGATAGATACACAAAAATTGTTTTTTTTTTATTGTTTTTGTTTTATCTACTTTAAACAAGTATCAGACATTTAGTTTGAAGGATAAACAAGACAAGAAAAAAGAAAACAAAAAAAGAGAAAAACACGCTAATCTAGTAGACAGTCTAACACATGCAGAAAAACAAAACACATAACCTGCCGTACAGGTATCACTGAGAAGACGAGCTAAAGCATTCAGAAATTTACCTATATGGAAGAAATATTATTCCTGATGGGAAAACAAGGAGCACCAGTACACTTGAGAAATATAAATGCAAGACATTAAACATACACACTCACTGTTAATATAAAAATTGCGAATAGAATACATTAATTTTTAAACCAGGGATGTTCAAGTATTGCCTCAAGTGATGGTCGCCTATCAGGATTTTGTGTAAGACATCGTTGAATTAAGTTTTTTAATTCGGCTGATAAATAGGATTTTAATACTAATTTATGTCCAGTTATATCTTCTTCACTTTCAAACGGTAAATTACCGCATACCTTAAAAAGAAAATTTCAGATAGAAAAAAAAAAAAGAAGTTTTTGTCTTCGTAACACTAACCATATCATAGAGTAATACACCAAGTGTCCATACAGTTGATGGTATGCCTGTATAACGTTTTTTTAATATATATTCAGGTGATTTATATTGTTTAGTTCCATGAAAATCTGAGTAATATGATATTGACGATTTATATATAGCACTAGCACCAAAATCAATTAATACAAGTGATTCAGTATCAAGATCAACTAGGATATTTTCACTTTTAATATCACGATGAACAACGCCTTTTCTAAAAAAAAATAAAATATATTAATGAACGATGACGTCTAACAGTCTAATTGCTTTTTTTTATCGAATATAGCGGCGTATGAGTAATCGATTATGCTAATTTCGAATATTAATACGAGAGCTGCACCTAAAACTCTAGAGATCCATGCCTGGAAAACTAGTTTTTCTTAGCAAGACAACATTTTTAGTCCGTCTAGATCGTAGAGCGCGTCAACTTGACTACAAAATACTATTTTTCTCCGTTTGGGAGCCATCACTGAGGTCATCAGAAACATAATTCTTTCTTTTCCCTTCTGATTTTTACAGAAAAAACAACAAAATATTTTCTTCTATGAATCCATAGAGAAAAAAAGAATTATATTTCTGGTGATCTCAATAATGGTTCCCAAACGAAGAAAAATAGTATTTTATAGTTAAGTCAACATGCTCTACTATGTGGATGAATCAAAAATTTTTCTCCCTAGGAAAAACTGATTTTCCGGAAACTGATTTCTGGAGTCCTTGCTGTTGGATCTCATATTGATATTCGAAATCAGCATAGTCGACTGCCTACAATCTACTAGGTTTAGGGAAAAGAGCGATTAGATAATTGGAGGCTTTTCTTATTAAGAAACTTTGTTATTTGATATAAAATAGACATTAATAATAAAGAGATAGTCTAGAATGTCGTATTTGATAAAAAATTTCATGATTACAAGTGTAGTCTCTTCACACGAAATGTACCTATGTCATGATTTGATTTATGTTAATCTTAATAAGACAATGCAATTTATCAAAGTAACAGCTGTTTTCAATAATTACATATTCTTCATGTACGAGAAAAATATTTTTCGATTATAACTTCTGCATTATTTCATTGCTGATATCGACCTCAGTAATTTTATGCTTCTAGTAGTTTTGATCTCACTCACAAGCAGAGCTTTGCCTTGTAGTCATGATCGTGACCGCGATACAAACGAAGGAACAGATCCAAGTATCATGCATCATTCAACTTAATAGTATTG